CATCTACAAGAAGGGCCAGAAGGTAGACCCAGGGAACTATAGGCCTGTCAGTTTGACCTCAGTGCCAGGGAAGCTCATGGAGCAGATTATCTTGAGTGTCATCACGCAGCACTTACAGGGCAACCAGGGGATTAGGCCCAGTCAGCATGGGTTTATGAAAGGCAGGTCCTGCTTGATGAAGCTGATCTCCTTCTATGACAAAGTAACACACTTAGTGGATGAGGGAAAGGCTGTGGATGTGGTCTACATTGATTTCAGTAAGGTTTTTGACACCGTTTCCCACAACATTCTCCTCAAGAAACTGGCTGTTCATGCCTTGAACTGGCATACACTTTGTTGGGTTAAAAACTGGCTGGATAGCCAGGCCCAAAGAGTTGTGAATGGAGTCAAATCCAGCTGGAGGCCAGTCACTAGTGGCATCCTCCAGGGCTCAGTACTGGGGCCAGTCCTCTTTAACATCTTTGTCAATGATCTGGATGAGGGGATCGAGTGCATCCTCAGTAAGTTTGCAGATGACACCAAGTTAGGTGCATGTGTCGATCTGCTCGAGGGTAGGAAGGCTCTACAGGAGGATCTGGATAGGCTGGACCAGTGGGCTGAGGCCAACTCTATGAAGTTCAACAAGGCCAAGTGCCGGGTCCTGCATCTGGGGCACAACAACCCCAGGCAGAGCTACAGGCTGGGAGATGAGTGGTTGGAGAGCTGCCTGGCAGAGAAAGGCCTGTGAGTATTGGTTGATAGTCGGCTGAATATGAGCCAGCAGTGTGCTCAGGTGGCCAAGAAAGCCAACAGCATCCTGGCTTGCATAAGAAACAGTGTGGCCAGCAGGTCTAGGGAAGTGATTGTCCCCCTGTACTCGGCTCTGGTGAGGCTGCACCTTGAGTACTGTGTTCAGTTTTGGGCCCCTTGCTACAAGAAGGACATCGAGGTGCTTGAGCAAGTCCAGAGAAGGGCGACGAAGCTGGCGAGGGTTCTGGAGAACAAGTCTTACCAGGAGCAGCTGAGGGAGCTGGGATGCTCAGCCTGGAGAAAAGGAGGCTCAGGAGCAACATTATTACACTGTATAGGTACATTAAAGGGGTACTTTTAGGTTGGATATTAGGAAAAACTTCTTTACTGAGAGGGTTGTTAGGCATTGGAATGGGCTGCTCAGGGAAGTGGTTGAGTCACCATCCCTGGAGATCTTTAAAAGACGTTTAGATGTTGATCTTAGTGATATGGTTTATTGGAAGACTTGTTGGTGTTAGGTCAGAGGTTGAACTAGGTGATCTTGGAGGTCTCTTCCAACCTAGACTATTCTGTGATACTAGGTGAAAACATTTCTGCCCATGCTGGACTGTAAAGTGACACTTGCCAGGTGGTTTCTGTGTTTGAGTATATCTGCTCTGCCTGTCCCTGTAACTTTATAAATGTAAGTGCTGTTGGTCCTGGGCATGAGTCTCCTCTTACTTTCACCACTGACATGTTATAGTATCTCTTTTCATATAAACCAAATTAGCAGTCAGTGCCATGGAATTACTAACACAGTAGTCTCTGAACTATTAAGGTGACTGTGGTGGCAGCATGGAAACCTAAAGTTTCTACAGTCCACTCTAACATTACACTTGGTAATAGTGCTCTTAGAGGAGGTAGAGAGGAATTTCATACTGTTTTCTATTGCCTGTGATTTAAGGTAAGAAGGTCTTACACTGTTGGACACAGCATCTCTTATTTATTGAGTGATTCCCTGCACTTCATATAAATAATTGCTGGAAAAGCATTAAAGTGAAGTTAATTAATCTCTAGGCATATTTAGGCTCTTAAAAATTTCAGGGCAGTTTTGTTTAAAATGCCAAAATGTTGTAAAAGTGCTGTTTTTGAAGTACCACAGACTCTTGGTTATATCCTTTCAAGGATATTCAAAGAAATGTAGCCTACTAAATGTTTAATTTAATAGCTGATCTTTATTTATAGATAATGCATCAATATTATGGTGCTTGCTTCAAAGTTAAGATTTTGTGGTCTTGGATCCTCTGTTTAACAGTATTTTTTCTTTCACTTTAGTGTGAACCATTCATAGGGAAGGCAGCTCAGGTGTCCAGACCCTGTTGGCAAAACACTTCCTTCAGCTTCCCAGGAACCTGGGCTTGTTGGAGACTGGTGTATGTTTGCCTGGGTAGGTATGTAGACAGTAACAGGCATTGGTTGGGTTGGAAGGCTCAGATGAAACACCGTAAAAACATGGTCAGCTTCATTTTATTTCTGCCTTCTGAATGTATAGCTGGGAATAATATGTACTTTGGAGTTGTGCTTTTGGCTTGGTTTTCTGCTTGTTTGTTTGGATTCTTTCAGCTGAGGAAAATAGCATTTGTAAAGTGCAGATACATTTTGAAAAACCACAATAAAATGAAAGAAAATAACAATAATTACAAAGACTGACTAAAAGTCAAAGATAGAGTTGATCAAAGTCATCACCCAAACTTGCTCTGTACTTTTCCTGTGGTGCGTCACAGCTCCTCAAACTGCTGGTCCTGTTTCCTTAACTGTCTTTCTCCATGTCTCTGTCTTTTTGTAGAAGTCCTGAGCCCATAGCTGCATGAAGAAACAATGTACAGACAAACTTTACAAATTCATATTAAACCCGACGTTCATTTTAGTCTGTAGTTAGTCTGAGGTAATCAGACTGAAAGCATAAAACCTCTTTCTTTTTTTTTTTTTCTCAGACTTCTCTTACAGTGCCATTTTGAGGATCTGGAATTTTTACCATTTTTAGACTTCTTTGACGGTGATTCCAGGAAAAAATGACAAGTATGAAATTATTGAGAAACTGTAGACTCTGCATCATTGGCCCAAGGGATATGACTAGAGGCTCATAGGAATAATTTAGCAGCTAGTACAAAAAGGTCTACTTAGAGATGTTCAGACTTTGGTACATGGGATTTGGGTTATGTTTGAAGAAGTTGTTGGGTGCACAATAAGCTTGTGACCAGATAATATTAGCTTTACACTGACCTTTACATTTTTAAACTTCATTGATAAGGAAATACCATGAAGATCTAGCTGTAAAAGGGAGTTTGTGGCCTGCACCATTCTGAGCAGTAGTCAAGTAGTAGAGCCAGTAAGATAATCATTCTGCCAGTAACATCTGTGCAAAAGAAAAGATATGCATAAAAACCTTTCACCTCCCTCCAGAGCCAGAAAGCTTGGGAAAGAACATAAGAACATCCACACTCGTGCAACACCAGACAGAAGCTGGGGAAGAGAAGAAAATATTGGCACAAAGCATAAAAATCAAACTAAAGGCTCAGGAAGTAAGAAGTCACAAGTGAAAGCCAGACCTGATATAATGATATAAAGCCAGGGCTGATATAATGGGGAGAAGAAGCTGTTGAAATGTGGACTGTCTCTCTGATGGGAAGGTTGTGCCCTCTCTACCTACAGTTCACTGGAAGAGCCTCTGATGTTTGCTAAAGGGACCTTACTCCATTCTGAATTGTCTTTATTGCTAGTGGAGTTTTCTTTTGCCCAATAGAGTGAAATGTTTCTTAAAAAGAAACAACAACCCAAAACCACAATAATAGGATTTAGAAACAAAACCAAACGAGTTTATAGTAACAGACTGGCTGTTAACCTTCTTGTACACAGATTTTTCTCATTTATTTTTGGAATATGGCACTAAGCTCTAAGATTTATTCAAGAGTGCTCTGAGAAACTTACTTTCACTGTCCTTTGTTATAGGACACAACGTGTCACAACTCTCTGATCTTGTTTTCTTTCACTTTCTACCTCAGTTTAAAAGACTTTTTCTTCCTGGCTCCTCTGCATTGTATTCCTTGGCTTTTATAGAAGTTCAGTTTCTGCGTGCCAAACTCTTTTCAAATAATGTAACTCAATCCATATGTCCAGTTCATACAATTGAATACAAATCTCTGGCAGATGCTCTCTCAAAATCCAGCCACCACTTCAGCATTTTTTGTCCCATGCATGTTTTAAGAGATTTTTGCAGCCTTAAGTTTTGGCAACTGGAAATAAAACAACTTCTTTCCTATGATAAATTTCCTAAAACTCTTAAAGATTGGTTCTCTTTCTTCATTCAAAGCATGGTGACCTGGCAATTATTTTCCTAGTCCCTCCTGTTTTCCAAACAAAAGCTAAATGTATGAAGACATCTTTTAAAAAGTATGGAAACTACAGTGTTTTGCCTAATGTTCCTTTGCCCTGATCCAGTGTGTTTGAAGCACAGGTTGGACCTGTATTTTGTGCTTGGTTATAGATGTTGTTCTGCCTATTACTTGCTATAGGAAACTGCTAAAGAAGTGGTAGCTGTGGGCTGAGTGTTGTGTTTAACCATCACATTTCAAAGAAGCTTGTCTTCTGGACACAAAATAAGTCTGCCAGCTTTCTGCTTCTGTTTTAGACAGAAAAAATATATATTTAAAAAAAAATCAGACTTCTACAGCAGTCAAATTTTATTCAGTTTCCTTATCTGAAGACTAAAATTTTCATTTTTATACTTGTGAAACAAAGCTATATTTTCATGCATCCTTGTTCTGTGACCAAGATCTGTAAATTAAAAAAATGAAACACTAAAAGATGTGCATACAATGTACTTCTACTGCACTGAGCATGAAAAAAAAAAAAATAAAAAAAATAAAAAAATCAAGCTGTAAAAACCATCTGAGGTACCAGAAGGAGTCAAGAGGAAGTATCATTGCTCCCAGAGGTATCTGGTAAAAATATGTGTTTAGACAGTAAATTAATTTCAAACAAAATCAATTTATCTTGTCTGAAGATTCACATGGAATGTAGTGCAAATGAGATAGAAAAACAAGAACAGGACACTTTAAAATTCTTACTTATTTAAATGCTGCACTAAGCACTTTCTAGTTTGGGACAGGATTTAATTGGATTCTATAAAGCTCACTGGCAGGATGGTCATTTTCTTACCAGCAGGTAACAGCAGTTCCAAAAAATGTGCTTTCTCCAGTGTAGCTGTAGGAACTGTTGCTACTTAGAAACTAGCAAGGTCATTAATCACAACAAAAAGAACAAACTGTTATATAAAGCAATAATTTTGCCAGACAAGTATTTTAAGTCTGTCTAAACCAGATGATCAGAACATATTACCCAGTTCTTGGTTTATTGTCTCCATAAAGCATTGGAAGGATACATGTCTGCCCTAGTAATTTATTTTAATTTAATTTTATTTTTTTATTTTATTTTATTATTTTATTTTATTTTTTTTTTTTTTTTTTTTTTTTTTTTTTTTTCAGGCACAAATATGATGATCTTCTCAAAGTGTTGTTTTTTTGTTTTCAATCCTTCTGGTTCTTGCAACATTTTTACCTTTTCAATGCCTAACTTATTGTCTACTGCAACAATGCATTGAAAATTCTGAAAAGGAGCGAATACCAACGGGAAGCTTCACGAAAGCCGTTGTTATCAGGAGGTATGTTGCTGGTAGTAACCATGGAAACTCATTTAGGATGACCTGAATTAATCTAAGGAGACAATGAAAGCAAGTACAGATAAATTTAGACTGATTAGTAGAGAAAATTCAGCTCTTCATGTTGTATCCTGTTAAACAACATGAAATGCTGCTAGGGAACATGTAGATGTATGAGGTAATTTAAAATTATTTTGGACAATGGAATTTGAGATTCTCTTGCAGGAAAGTCTTTTGGCAGGAGAAGGGCTCTGTTGATCTCAGATTCATTTCAGATAACATTAATTGCAAATTTTATGATTCCATGAGACTTGCTCTATACCAGCAGCTTTCTCAGTTCAAGTATCCAAGTGTCTCACATATATCTTTTTGAATCAACACTGGAAATCCCTGTTCACTGGTGATAATCCCACTCTTCTGAAAAATCTTGATTGAAGGAGGAGACATTTCAGAGACTAAGCCACCAACGTGCTGCTTTAGCAAGTATATAAATTAAATAGATATTTCTTAAGCAGAGGCCTGTAACTGTAACTAAAACAACTGATTTTCTCCTAGTTTACAGCAAGTGAGGGAGAAGAAATAATTTAGTTAGAAACTTGAGTTTGAATAATAAATTATTTGGTTAGAAATATTTTAATAGTCATTCAACTACTTACTTTGCATTTGTATTCCATTTCAGAGAGTCTGTGAAAAGGGAGTACAAGAAATAAGTAAATGGAAATGTAAAGTGAAATTCAGATGTGGATGAGTAAATACAAATACATTGAAAGCTGGCAAAATGAGGTAAGAAAAAATTTAAATTTACCCTACACAAGCTACTTACTGGTTCCAATTAACTTGCTCTTCCATCCTTGTTATGCTCAGTTTGATTTTGCTTTGGCACCTTTTCTCTCTTGCTAACCCTGTTTTAAGGATACAGTTTTAAACAATGCCCTGGTTTACTTGTGCCTTCTCCTCTCGTAAATAGGTGAGGACCTGCAAAGCTATGTCTGACTTTTCCTACTCCTTCATATTGAAGAATTATTTTCTAATTTTGAACATCTTAAGGCTAAAACAGTGACTGACACAGATTGCTTCCTCCTGGTCCTCTCACAGGCAGTACATTAGTGGTAAAAAGAGAATACTCTAAATTCCTTTATCATACAGTCATCTTGGTGTCTGTTATAACAAAAATATTATAATTGGGTTGTAAATATAAAAGAATATAAAAATTTCATTGGTTTCAGTGTGTGCAGATAGAGCATTACAAAGAAGGGTTTTTAATGTTTTTTCCTCACTTGCTAAAAAGAAAAAAAAAAGAAAGAAAGAAAGGAAAAAAAAAAAAAAAGACCTCTCTTGATTCAGTATGCATACTGAGCTTGGTACGTTGCCTGTGTTGTCAAAAGACAGTGATCTTTTCTGTAGCATTCTCATGAATGGTGGCTTGCACTACACCCTGGTTGGAGAGACAACTTGTTTGTGTTATTTTGAAAAGTAAGATGGCAATGAAATGAGACATTTCATTGAAGAAGCTGGTAGACATTTTGGACATTACCTCACTTTTTTGTTGTAGGGCTTTTTTTTCCAATAAAACCAGGAAAGTCACTTCCACAGAGTTTTCCTTCTAAGGATTTTGATGGTAATTTATTTTTATATTAATGAAAAGCAGCAGAGAGAAATTCTAAATGGGCGACTTTCTAATTGATAGAAATGTTAGAAATGATAGAAATAGCCTGTGTTATAAATAATGCTACATCGAGTTGCTATTTAAAGTGCATTTTTATGCAATAAGATTAGACTTGTTGAAATTGATGAGTAGAAAAACTGTCTCCACCTCTCCCTCTTTGCTGTTATCTTTGCTCAACATTTGGAAATGTACAACCTCTAAGAATCTCTTGGAAATCCTAAAGTGATATGTAGGAGGCAGCCAAGTGTTACTAGTGCTATCTGGCTTGTATCTTCTTTGATCCCACAAATGTGATTTAGGCAGCTCTGAACCTGCTTTTACACAATCCTTGTTGTAAGGAAGTCAAATTGTCCATCTGTAATGCCTCAGATTCATAAAAGACACAAATGGTATAAAGCCACCTTAGGTTTTCTTACTAGATGTTCAACTTTAGGCTGAATATATCTCACCAAATCTGGACTCTCCTGACTGTATTTAGAAATGTTCCACTTAATAATTTGTACTTTTTTCTAAATACTTTGAAGTATTATTTTCAAATATATTGAGACACAATTTTTGCTTTGCTTTACTCAGTATAATCCACACATGAGTGTTCTTTATATATCCACTTACATTCATTTAGCTTCAAATCTGCACAAAAATAGTATTCTAGTATTCATCATCTATATGATGAAGAAAAAATCGGTCAGCCTTTGAACTGTATTTGACCTACCAGAAACTCAGTTTAAAATCACCAATAGCCCAAGCTCACAAAGACAATAGGGACTGAGGTTTTCAGCCAACTTGTACTCAACAAGCTCTATAGTTTTCCCTGATCTGTAGCAACACAGAAGTGTATTGACTTAAATAGTCCATAGCCATCTTTTCATTACAAAGATGTCACAATGTTTTTTGTTCAAATAAATTTAACAATGCACTATTGTTGTCAATTCAGTATCTTCCCAGGTCATTTCTAAATGAACCAATTTAGCAATACATATTTTCATCCTGGTTCTGTTTGAAGTTTGAAGATGCGTGGAAAAGTACAGGTATTCCTGTGCATCACCAAAATAATTATCAATGGAGGTCCCATTTCTTCTCATTCTAAGTACTGCTGCAAGTCTAGGAAATAAGCTTCATTTTACAGGAAAGTTTTAATCTCAGCTTCATGAGATGAAGCACTTCTGCAATAAAATTAATATTTGAATATACATGCTGTTGCACATGCTTTTTCTTATTAGATGAATTAACTTCTAGTTCTGAAAATAGATAAATAAATAAATAAAGTTTAAAAATTAAAGAGGGCACTAAAAACATAGTATTGAAAAGGACATAAATCCGTTTAAAAATAATAACTTTTCTAGTTGAGCTGTTTATTGCCATTCATATTAAAATTTTATGGGACAATAAAAACGTTAGTTATTTCTGTGCATCTGACCATTAAACTGCAAGCTTGCACATTAGTTAGAATAATGAAGTTCAAAGCACATACTCATATCTTAATGGCCTAGTCATCTGGAATTTCAAAATACTTTAAGTTAATGACATAAAGAAATAATGTATTTCAAAGAAGTTATACAAAGTTAATATAACACAATATAAGCAGGTAAGGAATGATTGACTGTTAGGGAATAAATTGTTTTCTTAAATAAGAAATTTCTGTTGGTACTACTTATAAAGAGTCTTCCACAGAAGTACTCTTGGTTCAGCACAATTCTACCTCTCGAATAACAAGTGTAACAAGAATCTGAAAGGTAATATGAAATCACTGCTAGTAAAATTTGCCAATGACAAAAAAAAATAATGAAGTAGCAGTAAGTAATGGTGACAGATCAGTTCTACAGGTCAGCTTGGGTGATAAGGCATACTTACTTAAACACAAATGACAGACTCAGTGCAAGTGTCCCTGGCTATTACCATGTTTGCTGCAGGAGATTAGACTAGATGAACATAATGATATTTTAGTGGTTCTTGAAGCTCCAAACTGTACAGTCTTCAGTACAGTAAAAACACCCTTGGTCAGTCTATATATCAGATCTCTGTAAATGATTGTGAAAGTAGTTCTGTGGAGAAGAGGTTTTGTTTTGCCTTTTTTTAAGCTTTATTTTTACAAGTAATGTTTTATTGCTTCCAAGATACACCTCATGTTGCTAAGATCTACACATTTGCAAAAAAAAAAAAAACCTATTTTTTATGCACTTTAGGAAAAATGTTCTTTATAGCCTGTGATTGCAGATGGGTTCTGGTTATTATCTTTCAGTCTGATATCACATTCTCCTCACTGAAACTCTTTTTACATTTCCTTTTTGTCACTGTGAATCTGATTATTTACACAAATATAAACCTTTAAGACTAAATACTCAAGTCTGTGTTTTCACTAGTTTGCTAACATCTATTGACACACAGTGTCTCCTGCAAAATTTCTTTATGCTCTTCAGTGTTGTAGTTTTAGCTGTCCTAAGTCCTGTTTTGAGTCTGGGGTTTTAAAAGTCTCAAAAAAGGGGGGGAAATGTTTAACTCTGGTTTTCACTTCAGAATCATACAAAAGGAGGAGTCTGACATAGTTTCAACATAAAATCTCAAATCAGAACTATTTTTCCTATGCCTGATACTAGAGCAGCTGTAAGAATCTGTAATCTGTGGTGTGATTCATACTATATCCACTTACTTTTGAAACTAGATAAATTTTCAATAATCTTAAATTTTCCTTTACGCTTTCTGTAAAACCAGTAGTTAACCTCAGGCCTTGCTCTGAGGTTAAATATGTTAAATAAAACATATTTAATATAAATAGCTGCTACCCAAGACATAAATTCTTCTATGGGACTAAGCTAAGTGATCACTGGCTCAGGGTAAATAAATCCTCTGTAGCTTTGGGCAAGACACTTCAGTATTCTGTAACAATATTCTGCATAACAAAATGTGAATGGCACCACTTCAGTTATTGCTTAAGAAAACAACGGTAAAGCTTTATGCTTCTTGCACTATGATAATACATACCCAGTAGGTGTTTTTGTTCACCAGGAAAGAAATAACTGAGTACATTAGCAATAAGTAATTAACCATGTACAAGTTCAAGATTTTGAGAATTTTATCTTTACACACAAGTGTTTCAACTTTTGAATCCATATGTAGAGACTTGGGAGTTTGCTTATTATTACTTTAAGACAAGTAAACAAAATTGCTGTTGTTCTTTGTTCATTACTGAACCTGCCATGTGGTTATCTCAATTTGGATTTTGAGCTTACATTTGCTTTCCAGTTTTTGAATGCATTGCATTCAATTTGCTTGGTAGATGCAATAAAGATCTGAGCCTTTGAAGTCTGCAGAGAGCTATCTGTCAATATGTCATTATAACATGGCTTCAGGAAAACTACAAAGTCCACTGCTGTGGCACAACCTGTCCCTTTCCACCACACTGACAAATTCCACACTGACATCACCAAAAATGAGCCGCGGCCATCTGCAAGGAATGCTTGTTTTCTGAGGTGGGAATATAGTTAGGTTAACAATTCTTTTGTGATTTAACATCAGTATTTTAGTTACTAATATTTATACTTTTCAGAAAACTAGGTTTTCTGAAGGACTCCTTAAGAGGCTTTAACTAACCAGTACCTTCATATAGTAGTATGCTTCTAGGTACATAGGAGGTACAAATATCTTCCATGACTGTAGCTAGGGAGAAGTGCCTAGTTTGCTTTTATATTTAATGTAGTTGCCAGTCTTGAGTATTAAAACAATAAACCATTTCTAACTGCCTCACTTTAAGTAATGAGCTAGATTTATTTCTCTTTTTCTTCCAAACTACTCAGAAATAGAGTTTTTTTCTTTTGTTGATGGTTTATGACTTAAAAAATAAAAACAACAAAAAAAATTAATAACATCACCTCCCATGGTACCAGTCTTCTAACCCACAGCTCATCTCCATCTAATCTTGCAGATTCACAGGACTGTTCCTCTTCCCCAGACACACTGGAGCTCACATGCAGGTATGTGCTTCCTGCTAAGCCATTAATAAACAGCATGTTGCTGTGTTTCCAACAATTTGCAAATCACAAAATACCAAATACATATCAATTAATTTAGCTTACAATTTCTGCAGTAAAGGATTGCAATTGTTCCACACGGTGCATTCTGATCCTCACCGCAATTTCAAGTTAGGTAACTGAGAACCTGCAGATACTCACTGATGGGTTGGGACAAGAGATTTCCTCATTCTCACCTCAGTCATTGACTCTAGAAACCTCAGATAAATTTCTGCTGGAGAAGTTATTAAAACAGATTCCTACATCTGGGTTACAGGTATGCTGCTTCTAACCATGACTGAAGTTGAATGCAGTGATCTCTCTTCCTACCTGTTTTAAATGTGTCTACAGTGTTGCATTTAGAGAATCTAAGGCTTTTGAAGTTTAGTTATAAACAAATACCTTAGCTAAGGTAACTTTATTCTATATAATGTTTTCATAATTTCCTATTCTTGTTCGTTGCTAATTTAAACATCATCAGAATATTTTAGCAAGATTTTTGCAATATGTGAATTGAATCAGATATGTTTGCCTGTCAGATTCATGAGGCATCATCTGCACAGGTGAGACTCTGTGTAAGCCAGAAAGGATTTTTCTTCTGTTCCTTGCACTTTCATTTCCAGGGGAAATAAAGCCAGGCCCACAAAGGCTGGAAGAGAAAGTGCCATCCAACATTGTCTCTCCTTGATTCCTGATCTGGATAGTCAGAAGCCTGAGACACACCAAAACATACAGGCAGCCTAAAATAAATAAATAAATAAATAAATAATGCTATGTTATTTCTCTGGGTGCAATGATGTTCAATATGCTTTTCAGAGAGCTGCATGGCTTGAAGTCAGAGAAACCAGAGTTTTTCTTCTGAACTTTCTCATGTCCTTTGTATAATTGTTATTTTTAAATCTTTTGGATTTTTTTGAAGTCCAAGAGTGGGAAAGTGACTTCTAGTTCAATAAGCATTTCTTAAGACAGATAAAAAGGTGCAGAATTTCTGGTATCAGGTTGCCAGTATGTTGAAGAATCACAATAAGTGATTTAAAAGTTGACACAGTGAGTCTTTTATTTAAATTCAAATCTGCTGTAAGTAGATTTTGAGTGCCCTGAAACCAGTGAAGTGGAATGCTTTTATGAAAAGTTTCATTAATTACATTATTATCAGCTAAAGAGATGACTTCATTTGAAGTATTTCTCACCTCCAGCACCAGCATAGGGGTGCCCCTGCCCCAAAATTGTGCACCAGCGAGACAGCTGGCAGCTACAGCAACCCTTACATCCTGCTCTGGGCTGCCTTTTTCTCCAGGCTACCTAATATGTACTTCACAGCTTGCAGGCAGAAAATAGCCTGTAGGTTGTAAGATGGCAAGAGTCCTTAGATTTTGCTTTCTTTTTATAAAAGGAAACATAATGCAGAACTCAGTAAAAAGGCAGGTGCATGGCTTTGCTTCTTATGTTTTGTTTTATAAAACTTGTAGAGTAGTAATGCCCTGAGCATTCTGAAGAGCCTGGGACATTTGGACTGGAAGATTTTGGTGAAGTTTGATTTTTCTTGCTATTTGTCTTGGTGTGATCTTAGCCATGACTGATCTGGATTACAGAATCAGAAAAACACCTGATGAAAAGGAGCGGCATATCATTCTCCCCCCTACCCCCACCCCCCCCCCCAAAAAAAATATAAAAGAAAAAAAATGAGGCAATAGGTAGAAAAGAGAATGTTGGAAAAAAAAAAAAAAAAGTGATACTTTACATGCATGTTTCTGGGCATGTTATGCAGGACCCTCACTGTTTTTTACATTGTCTAGTGGGGCTGCAGGGACATGATACAATAAACACTATTGAAAATATGGTTCTGTGTACTGAGACACAATGAGAAAGAGGTATAAGAAGAAGTATGAGAAAAAACGTAAGTGAGTTGCGCACACTTGCAAATCAGCAGTGTGACAGTTAACCAGAATAAAAGCTGCTCACCTTAATTATGTCTTGAATATATGCGGTAATTAGGCATGAGAGTCTTGAGATGCACTTTCACAACATCAGGCATATGATAAGCATTTAACTCACAGAGATACTTTTTGAATGATTACTCAAGCATGGTTTTAATTTTTTTATTTTTATTTTTTTGAGGAAAAATGTTAGCAGGAGTTAAATTCCTTAGCCTTCGTGCACCTCAGAGGTTCTTTTCTGTGTCAGTTTTGGGTAAACTAAAAGGCTAGGGAAGGAGTTTGAAATTGTGTTTTCAACACAGTATAGATTTTTTCCAAGTATTAATATTTATAAAAGGAAGTTTAGTACATAACTAATACCAAATCTATTTAATGGTGTAATACTGTGGCTTTATATACTCTTCTCTGGAATAAGCTAAGGCTTCCTACCAAAAAAATGCAGGAACTAATTTCCTTATCAAATTGTGGGGTAAAGACAGGCAATATTTATTTTTTCTTTCTAACCACTCTCTTAAAAATTATTGTGCAAACACATCAACTTCATGCTGCTGAATGATATGAGGCACGTCTCTATATTGAGAATAGACACAGCTGATTAAAATCTTCTTTCTTTCCCCTCTGTTCCTCCCTTCCTCTCTCTCACAGTGCACCCATGTTGTTGTATACATTGTCCAGTACTGATATTTTACTGTTTTTAAGGGCTAGCCACATCAGCAGCTGCTACTAGACCCTTCAATGGCAGAACATGAAGGAGAGGAACTGCAAAAACCCTCCCAGGTCTAATTGGTTTGGATGCTTCCCACAACCTCAGAATAGCAAAACCTCTGGTCTGCTCATCAAGAGGAAAACAAGATAACTTGTTAAAACCCAGGCACCAATTTCTCTGCTTCTGGTGTTCACTAAATCTCAGATACTGGGATTTCAATGCTGGGCAAACCCAGAAACATTGATAATTTCATGGCTCAAGTAACTACAAAATGTCATTAAACCATTTATGGTTTACTGGTTGGTTACTATATAAAAAATTGCTGTGAGTAGATGGAGCTGTTAGCTACATAACAGGATGACAGATTCCTTTTTCAACCCTGTTACAGTTATGTAGAGACCAACACCCAAAGTCCATCACGTTAAGTCTTCTGAGCAGTGTGGACGACACAGATCTTGGATGAGCAAATAGAAATAATTTGATAAGTTGTTTTTCACTGGTAGTAAGGAAAAGACTCTATATTGTTGAACATGCAATTTATAGATGTATCATGGGTTTTAGTAGTATTTTGATTAGTTTTCAGTATGCATTTTTGTTTGCTGTGCATAGTGAGAATATGTAATGAGCAGGCATGGATAACTTTTTTAATATACTTTTCATCTTTCCTACTCTGATATATGCACTACTTTGCCTAGAATATTTCTCCACAATATCCTACATACTGTTTCCTTTTTTCTTTAGCAGGATATACAGGAAGAAAGGCCATAGCGAAGAAAAGACATAAATATTGACATGCCATTGAATCAAAATAATTCAGTATCTATACAACATCGGTATTGTAATCATAAGAAGACATAGAGAAATATTAAAATCTGAATTAAACCAGCTGTATCTTTATTATCCTTCAAATGGACCAGGTAAGAAGTAATATTAAAACTGCTAAAACACACACTCGTAGTTTTCAAGACATTTATAATTTAATGCAAGAAAATAAAGAAGATCAATACTAGTCTTAGGTTGTACTAACTCAAAAGTTGGTCTAAATCAAGGATTATAACATGAAGTTGCCCAAATTAGGTTCACCTAATTTGGTGATAAAAGCATGGTCATAAGCATTTTGGTCATAAAAACATGTCTAACCAAAGAAGAGATGTGAAAAAGAGATCACTTTGCACTACTGATATGCTGTTATTACAAAGTCCCTGGGAGGCACCTGTACCTATTCTAGGGATGCTCTGACTTACAACAGGAAATAAAGGAATATAGAAAATGACTCAACTGGGTTTTTGCCTCAGCAGTCTATTCCTGTGCTGGGCTTAGTTCGAGCACAATAGAGATGGAGGCTCAGAACGTATCAGAGCATTATTTCTCATCAGTCAGAACACTGAGCCTATAAAATATTCATAAAAACTCCACAATTTGAACTGGCCTTTCAAGTAATAAAAGAATACATCAAAGTAATACAATAAATTAGGAGTTCCCTCTACTGCATGTGATATAAAGCATAAGAATTTCTATTAAATTTTTTATTATTGTAAAGTAAATTAGGCTTTTTCTGATGTGACAATTATGGGATTTCATACAATATGATATTAACAAGAAAGATACTGTGTTTTTGTTAATGCCTCTATTTCTTACCATCTAAACTAATGAGCATGTTTGATCTTCCCTGATTTCTTCATGCCTCATTGTTTCCATCATTGTCAAAAGCCCACCTTTTCACTTTTCTTGTGAAATAATCTGAAATAACGCAAACTGACTTTATGGAGCACAGTGAGTATTCCACTAGCAAGGAAGAAAGGGCATCATTTGATAAAAGCAGACATATCATTAAAACAGTTACAAAATTAGATAATTTTAGCAGAGAGCAGATTTTTTTTTTTTTTTTTTTTTTTTTTTTTTTTGCTGCCAGTCAGGATTTAAATAAAAGAATAATCCCACATTTGGCAGATAATTACGCTTCTCCAAGGGAAAACACAACACTGAGTGAAAAGAGTTAAGGTCTCCTTTTTCTCAGATAATTTTGTTCTTTGAACATTTGCAACTGTTTATTTAAAAAAAATAAAAAATAAAAAATGAAACTGTAGCAATTATTGTTCCAGAGATATAAGCAATGTTCATGTCATCATTTTAAGAGTTATTTTTTTTGTTGTTGTTTCTGTTTCCAGACTCCTGTATCAGTATTTTTTTGTTTTTGGTCCCTAGAGCTGCAGACACCGATGTAGGAGGAGACACCTGTCATCCTCTATATTGCTGGTATAAAAATTTGAATACATTTATTTGAATACATTTATTTATTTTATTTATTTATTTATTTGAATATTGATATCTAAGGTTCCAATCCTCTTCTTAATTATAATAGTAATGAGTGTCTGTCTCAGGTCTACATATGCAGAGTTTTTGAAGGTTTTATTATTAGCCATATTTCCACAAGGAACAAGATAATATGATTTTAATGAGCTCTAATTACAAATTTATATATATTTAGCACAGCCTGGTCATATTTGAATGACTCTGCTACAAATAAAATCTATGATTTAAAAAACATATTCTTATTCTCAAATAGGTGTCACTGATATGGCAGAGTCTGGAAAAGAGAAGATCCCACACATAAATAAATATACAAGAACTGATTCTGCATTTGTGCCCAACACAATCTCCATTAACATCAGAGACCACAGACTGACATCTGTGTAAATGACGTGATAACCAAGACAGTAAAAATGGTTGGGACTTCCCATCTCTAAATAGGCTGATTTTTCAAAGTGGAAGCAAATTTGAAGTACAGATGCCTTCTGCAATGCCTTGACCTGCCCATTCAAAGTGTCCAGGCACTCCATGTGTCAGTATGTGCAATTCTTCTGTTTTGTTACACATTAAAGTGCTCTCCTCTCACAGAGGACAGTTTTCAAACTGCACAGCTGCAGCTTGGCTCCCCCGACCTTTCTTTGTCTGAAAATGGGAAAATAAAGCATAGTTTGTCTTAGGAAAATAAGATAGGAAAATAGTAGGATGTTTTGTTTGCAGTGGGATTGGGACATGGAGAGTACTAAGGAGACTATGATTGATAACTCACTGCTGTGCAAAATATTTTATATACTTTCTGCATACAGAACATATCAATTTGAATTTTATGCATGTTTTGTCTGCTTGTAAATTGAGCTGAAAGTGGGATTATTATTATTATTAACAATAATATAATAACATTAATATATATTAATATAATTAATATTAATACAACAACAACAACAACAACAACAACAACAACAACAATAATAATAATAATAATAATAATAATAATAATAATAATAATAAACAGTAATGCACATTAAAATGCAGAGGTAATAGGGGTTGGGACAAATGTTTGCTGCATCAGAGGAAAAGATTGTTCAGACTTTACTGGGCACAGAATGGGTTCCAAGTCTCTCTCTCTAAATTAAATGGCAGTCTTGAAATACATAAAACACAATGGTATAATGAATATAGGAGGAATTTTCCATTGAATACTTACATCCCACAGTGCTGGAGTTACAGAGGCAGTGGCTGGAAAGACCATTTTAGCAGAAACTGATGTGTTACTGTATTACTATCAGTGGAACAATTCTGACGTGTTATGTGCTCATTTGAAGACTTCAGAATGTACCTTGCTAGCCTGGTTTCAAGAGAGACAGAATTTGAGTCCAATCCCAGTCTGGTGATCAAGGCTATTTAGGAAAGTCCAGAAAAATCTGTAAACATTCTCATTTTAAAGGAAACTGAATATTTACAATTTTTCGGAAATGTTAACTATAAAATAAATATGGGAGTCTCACTGCAGTACCTCAACCCATGCAAATCAATATGTGTTAAGAGTACATGCAAACATCAAGTATTAGATTAGATTTAGATAATATTATTCTAAATATATAAAAATATCTCTATATAGATGCCTGTAGTTGTTTAAATCATTTTTCTTTATGACCTTTCCATATTACATCTTATATCTCTGTAAGCTGTTTTGATTTGTGTGTTTTTTGTTTTTTTTTCCTGGCAATGTCTAAAAGTTGCATTCACTTCTCTGCTCTGTTACTACTTCTCTGCTCTGTTACTGAGGCACAGATGGACTGCTTCATGGAACTTCCCATGTTCACAATTTTACAATTTTTCTTTTTTTTTTTTTTTTTCTTTTTCTCTCACTTTTTATATTTTACTTGGCTAAAGTAACTGTTACTTTACTGCAAGTTATGCATAAACCTTAGATTAGTGATAGCTAAATACAGAAGGCCAAATTCCTAGCTGAAATGAAAATAGGAATACTCGTGCAGCCTGATTGACTGCCTGAGAGTTATGTTGGCTTTCATGGCCAAAGTGCTACATGGAGAGAAGCTGACTAAATTCTGATGTTCCTTTCTGAAGCCAGCCTAACTGAAAGGTTGACAACAAGAAAACAAACCAAACAAGAGCGAGTTTTCAAAGAGGGAGTAGGAGAGAGCAGCAAGCAGCTGCCTGGAGGATAATTCCCTGGAGGAAGATTTTGTTCATTTTCTTCCCTGCTCGTACAGTCCTGGGGATATCTCGATCAATATCAGAGCTCTAATGCAATATGTAAAAGATTATATTTCATAACATATATTAAATAGTACCTTTCCATACACAGTCTTAATTTTAATTATTCTTGCATGGATAGAAAGTGATTTTGTTTACTGTAAGTGAGGAGCTGAGGAAAGTCACGCAGCTCAGAGTGGGGAGTGATTTCCAAATCTGAGATTCAAACGGCACAGCCTGGCTCTGCAGAAGGCTGGTGTCGGCAGGTCTCTGTGTGGTGGTGACATCTCCCCGCCTCTTCTCCATGCACTGCTTGGAGGAGGGGACAAGGCAGGGCTGGGGCTCATGCTGAGAGGTGCAGACTTTACTGTGTGTGACTGAGTAATGAACACCCCAGTGCATCTGTTGCCTTCAGAGAGCCAACAGAGAAAAAGCTTGCCAGCTGTTCTTATTTCTTTCTTTGCACAGCACTGGGAGGGGGTGCAGGGGTGGACCGAGTTCTGGCTGCTAAGATCATTCTCTGCTTGAAGTTTGGAAATTGCTTAAACACATATACCCTTTCCCTTTGATAAAGACATCATTACTGAAGTTTTTACAAAGTAATATTAGCCTATTTCATATGCATTGATGTGTGCTACTTTTCTTCATGCAAAGCTAAAGTGAATGTATCTAGAACAGAGCTCAAAGTTAATTAGCAATGATCATGTTTTGACACCTTTTTCTTAGTCAGACACTTTCAATCATTGTAAATAAGTAGCACCTAGCATTATTTATTTATTTTTATATAATATTTTATTTATAAGTTCTTAAAAAAAAAAGTAGGCCCAGAATCTTGTAAAATTTTAGTCTGGAGCAGACTTCACTGAAGTTAAAGAGCTTTGAAAAATAAGATTTAGCTTGAGAAGACTGCTAAAACCCTTTTAATTATTAAAAAAAAAAAAAAAAAAAAAAAAAAAGAGAGTACCTTTTTGGCACCAAGAGCATGGTAATAGCTTCAGAGGCAGGGAGAGGATTTGTCTGCTGGCAAAATATTGGTCTGAATAGACCTCTGAAGATCACCTAGTCCAACCCAAGCAGGATCACCCAGAGCACATTGCACAGGATGGAGTCCAGGTGGGTTTTAAATATCTCCAGAGAAGAGATATTTATATATCTCTTGTATATATATATATATAAGGGTGACATATATATATATGAGATATATATATTATATAATTATATAATAATATATATATATCTGTCATCCTCACAGGAAAGGAATGCCCTCTCATTTTCAGATGGAATTTCCTCTGCTCCAGTTTGTGCCCATTGCCCTACCTGCTACCCTGCTTCCTTCTCCCCTGTCCAGCATGCTCCTTCATTCACCAACACCTGGATGGAGCTCAGAAACTCCCACACCATCAGTAACGAAAGATTTTTTCCCTCTCCTAAGTCCCTGTAGTAAAAGACAGTAAATGTGGGATGTGGATCTTTTCGTTATTTTTTTTAAGTATGAAAAATGGGAAAAAGAAAAATTCTGCTTTAGTTTTGCAAAAAATATTCCTGCTATGGAAAGGGATATTTTCTGTTGACCCTATTGCAAACCAGGATAGTACATATTAATATACATAATAGTACATATACATAGTGGTTGTTCATATATATGTTTATATAGGCTTACTTAATTACACATTTGTATGTATATATATCATACATAAGTATGTATAGTATAGTATAGTATAGTAAGTATACCAAAGGGTGTATTTTCCTACATATGCAATACAGGGAGAAAGGTATAGCTTTCAGTTGTAACAATAAGTTGTATCAATAAGCTCTTGCATTTTGAAAATGTCATTGTACTGGGAGTAGGGGGAACATTCATTCCATGCTTGCTGTGTAGCATATAACATTGCATACCTGGTGAACATGATTGAAAATGATCATAAAACACCCTTGTAAATGTTCTATGCATTATTTGGGTTTGTCTTCTTTGTTTGTTTGTTTTGTTTTATTTTCTGTTTTATTTTTCTCCTAACCTTGAACCTTTGTAATCTGGACTGAGAAAATTTACAAAATGCAATGGTGAATTTAGGAGACTGGCTTTTGTTATCATGTGTCTACACATTTACTTATTTGGCAAACATTTTTTTTTTATGAACATACTGTATCACTTCCTATTTTAAATTAAGGTTATCATAGAAATCAAAACAAATTAAAGATCCATTTGCTTTTCTGTGCAGGGTAAACTAGTACAGTTCTGCAATAAAGTTTTAATCAATTTTGTGTTCTACTTGAAATTCTTTTTTATATCCCCTTCCCACTCCCACCCCCAACCTTTTTTTTTTTTTTTTTCAAAACAGATGTCTAGGAAAAAACAGAAAACAACAAACTATCACTATATCACTACATTCACCAGGCTGGACCCTCATCCAAAATGTCATTTTTTTCTCACGCTGCTTGGTAGGATCATATAAGAAATGACATATAAAGGTCACAGAACCATCACTTCTATATTAAAATGAAATAGCCTCTCATTTGCCAGGCTTCTTCACAGTTTTCAGAACTTAATATCAATAAACCAGTGGCATAAAAATGGCATTTATAAATTCAGTCTATTTTGCTGTAGCTAGAAAAAAAAGAAATGGAACTTGGCACCTTCTGGGTGTTTTCTTGATAGCAGATATTTAGAAAAATATCCATCTACAAGAAGAATTTTTTATCAAACTAAACATGCTATCTATATGTAAAAACCCCTACCTGTTGCAGGGATTACTTTTACATTCCCATTTTTCTCCAATCTTCTTGTCATATTGTAGCACTAGTGGTGATAAAAATGATTGGGTCCTGCTGACTGCAGAATAGATGAAAATTCACAGATTAAAGTGAAAATAATTGCTGAACTTGCTCTTGTTGCTTGTACATATCTTCTTGGCAACACTATGTTCATATTAAATAGACAAGTGTAATAGATAAATTTCTCCAGCCTTACTATCTCTGTCCAAAAAAAGAATGCCTTACAAAATAACTGGCTACAAACATTAGCACTTCATCCTAGTGGGTGAACATTGTTATGAGATTAGTTACTAAACTTCCCTCATTACTTTTTTGAAATGATACTAGCTGCTGCCTGTCAGCACCTAACTATCTATGACCATCTGGTCCATGTGAATAGATACTTAAAGGGGTATGACAATGGGTAATGCCGGAATGGATACGGTTCTTTAATATGTGGAAAAGGAGAGCTCACACTGCAGACTAAGTTTCCTGACCTGAAGTACTTCTGAGAAACCTATCCAAAATCAAAGTCCAAGGTCTGAACTGTCATTGGATCCAGCTTCTTGTAAGCAAGCCTATGACTTCAGCAAACTCCATCCTAAGAACAGCTGAAGCAGAACAGCTGCTTTCCTTCTCCTGGCTTGCCATACCACACCTACACTGCCTTCACATTCATAATCCACACTCTTATTGAAAATGTAACATACTTATCCCCTGTAGAGCCCCTCTGCATTGTCTTAAACCTACCATTTTCCTTTCCCTTTCATTTGGATATCCAAGATTTTTATTATAGTTTTTATTTCCTTTGCATAGTCTGACAACTTCAACTTCCTCCTTTCCCGTTCTCCCTAGATCTCCTTTTCCTTGCCTAAATCTCCTCCCTGGAGCTTTGGCTCCAGATAAGTTCTTTTTGACTCCACCTTTCATTCAGCATCCCAAGAACTGGATGCCATCAGTGCATGTCTTACAATATATGACTCATCCTGCAGCAGAACTTCTAATTTGTTTTACTTCCCTCCCCTGAAGTTTTTTTTGGTTTGGTTTTTAATCATCTTTCCTTACTAACAGACATGGCATCCTCTCTCCTTATTAAACCTAGTTGTATGACAAGAAGCTTGTTGTCTCTGTTGATGAAAGGTAATATTTTCATATTAGTAAAGCCCCTTTGTAATATTTCATCAGTGCAGCTGTAGGATGTGAGTTCTGGATCATTTCTGTCTCAAACCTTAGAAAACCATTTTGTGTTTAAGATGTAATGTGTTTTCCTGATCAAGGGAGATGCAGTGACAGATTCTGCTGGATCGATTCTCTAGTGTATTCTTTCTGTTACTGTTCAGGTAAGGTAGATGAGTGAGAGATGGGCTCTTATATTCTTGTCGATAATTCCAGAATTTCTCGAGAGAAAAATCCATGTTCTTGAATGGAAAATACTGGATTTTCAGTATTATACTTTCCTTAATATTTGTGATTATGAGTGCAGACTATTATTTCTCAATGAGTAGAAGGAGAAATGGAAAGAACACTTTGTTGTTCCTTGGTCTGTAAAAGTGATTTTTTGTCCCATTACTTCTATTCATTGGCTATAGAATAGGAAAAGTAACTCCCAGAATTTGGCAATTTACACCCGTTAAAATTTGCAGCAAAACTTCCATTCAATTTAGCAGAGATTGCATGAGAGGGTCTTCCTGCCTTTTAGCAGTATTCAGTTCCTATTCCACTCACCAAAGGAAGTAATCACAATCCAGCAAGGGGTAGCTGTGGCATTTCATTTGTCTGCTGCCTCTCCACAGTGTCAGTGAAGTGCAAGCTCAAGTATACAGTAGGTATGAGATATCTAAGGCCAGTTAAGAACATATGAACATAACGATCATTAAAAACAGTTATGGATCAGACAATGGACTAGTCTGCCAAGAGAAATTTTCCAGGACCATCTCCAGCCACTCTAAAGTTACTCTGGGGTGCAGTAACTGAATTACCCTCTTTTTCATAACCTCTAGCTCAAAACCACTTTGGTTCTTGAGAGCTGGAAGACAGAAAAAATGTGACAAATGTGTATCATGGAAAAGCCACAAAGATACTCTACCAGTGAATCTGATGTCCCTACCATAAAAAAAAAAAAAACTATAAGAAAAACAGAAACAGATAAACTAGAGCTTTCTCTGACTCAAGTAGTTTCTGATTTCAGAAACTGTCTTAGGTCTGTCCTAGGCATATCCTTTCATCATGGATAGAGACAGCATACTAGGATGTTTGGTCTTGACCAATATAACCATTTTTAATGTTTTTACCAAAATGATTCAGAGAATTAAGCACTGTATATCAGATATCACAACTGCATTTTATTTGTTGTTGATGCAGTTTCTTCAGTGTTTTTGTTTGTTTATTTTGTGGTTTGTTGTTTGTTTTGTGTTTGTTTTTTGTTGTTGTTCTTTGTTTGTTTCTAAAGATTTCCATATGTAATATGGAAGCCTAATTAAATCAGCCTTGTTTTCCTTTCTTATGGGTGTATATATCCATTTTCCACCCATTTCATTCCTTTAATCTTAAACTGTGATGTTGCTTTTGTTCCATCTTATATCCTTTATATTTATCTCTCTTTGAACGTTCCGAATATGTATGTTCGTCCAAATCATGGCTTTGTCTAGGAAGGCTAAGGAAGTTTAAAATCAACTGTTCTGAACTTAATGGGACATAATTTAAATGGCAGGTTGCGTTACATATTATGTTGTTCTCTACATATGCTTTTGATTTTACATCAGAAGTTTCCCTGAAGCAGCGCTTACATTATGATGCTTTTCATAAGACAGGTTAATTGCTATTCTTTTTAATTATCCTCTACTCAGCTTCAAAAGAGTTGTCAAAATACACCTTTATGTTAATACATTTCAGATAAAATTGGAATGAGGACTAAACTATTGAAACTGAAAGTAAAAAAAAAAAATCTAGATAAATTAGTTTTTCTCATAAGCTATCTTGGAAGAAATTTATACAGCATAATGTATTGCATACTCCTTTTGGAGTAAAGCATGTAGGGTATGGAACAGCTTATTTAGAGTGACAATAATTTAAAAAGTTTGATAGAAGATGCCAGCAAATGAAGACTCATAAAAATCATAAAGTCTTTATTAGATTCAATTCATACAGAAAATTGGGCTGCTTCAAGTAATGTCCTCCTTTTGATGTTCCTACCTCAAGATCAAAATAAATCAAAAAAATTTGATAGAATTAGGTCCATGCCTTGAAAACGCCTTAATCACTTTATTGTAGGTTGCCAAATCTGTATTATAAATGAGGGTCTAGTTTGGCTGTTGCCAAGTTATTTGTTGTCTTCCCTTGGTACTTTGAGATATATTTTTCTCTTTTGGCTTTTGTTGTTCTGATTGAGCCACAGCTTTTCTGTTACTCACCATTTCTGTCTGCGTGACCAAGTTAGCTTTATTTTTCCAAAGCCCACATGCCTCGGGAGTCTTTGAGCACAAAGTGTCTTCAGAGATAGGCATAGACAGATGCAGGATGAAGCTTCATTACCACTTTAGGCTGATCTAGATCATAGAATCATAGTTATAGAATGGTTTTCTACTAGAAAACATGGAATTATCTACACAGAAAATTCTACATAGATTTTCTACTACTTTTAGTGGGGTTGTCTCTCCAGTGTGACTCAAGATCCTCTTTAGCTGCAATGCTCATTTCTTCTGTTATATTTAAGTCCTTCTGTCACCATCCCTCTGGATGACTGCAGGTTTTTTTAAGCATCAGGGAGTTTCATAGACTTTAAGGACAGGGGAGAGATTTTCAAATCTTGTATTCTTCAGACCTTTAGAGTTCATGCACAAACCCTATTGCTATTGCCAAAGTGGCTGAGTTTATAATCTTAGACATGTTTTAAGAGGTACATACAACACTTGCAGGACCCTTTGCCTGCAGCAGAAGTTGCAAGCAATATCAGACCTTATATCTGTCACTGTGTTCTTTGGATCTGCCACAGTGCAGGAAAGCAAGGGAACTTGCTTTCATTTGGTTGCTATATCATCACGTCCATGCAGACCTACATTCCCATCTCCAGTTGTTGGAAAAGGCACAGAACAGAAAAAGAAAAGAGAGAAAATCAGGTTGCTGATCTTTCAATTGCCTCAAAACTTGAACCAGCCCCTCTGCTGGGTTTTAGACAAGTCCAATAACAAGGAACACAAAGCTAAATTACAGAGGACAGTAAACTGATCAGAGGTTAATCGCTAAGGTCATGTCTAAAGTGTGGTTAAAGATATTTTGGTGACTTGTTCTTACAAAGTATGCAAAGCAAATACTAGCCATATATCCCAGTTACAACAATCTTAAAACCTAACTAACCTTCTGAGCATCAGTTCTATTGTAAACTTGTAAAATTATGCACAAGCCCAAGGCTGTATTATTTCACATCATAACAAGAGAACATCAAAACCATGGAAAGAAGTAATTATTTGTTGAGTTC